TATTAAATAATACAATTTAAAAAAAAAGAAATTTTAATTTACCTTCTTTGATATCATCAATTGTCAATTCAACTTCAGGTTTTATTTCCAATTCATCATCATGGGCTTCTACTATATTTCTATGCTTATTCAACTGCTCATCACGTGATTTTTTTCGTAACTCAATAGTAACATCATTACGTTTACGACGTAAATCCTAATAAACCCCATAAGTAATAATTAATGAAATGATGGGACCTCTTTAATAAAGTTCAACTCATAAGAAACAAWAAATAATATTTCATCAATATTAGTTATTTTAAAATTGAATGAAACATAAAACAAACAAAATATAATTAATAGAAATTTCTAAAATACTGATGAATGTATAAACAAATCATTATGAATTGATCACATTTAAAAATGGACATAAAAAAAAACTGTGTAAATATTGTTCATTAGTTTGTTGGCTCAACTTAGTTAAGTTATACTAAATAATCAATAGCAATATTATAATGTAATGACTAATAATAATATATAAAATTTTTACCTCATAATACTTATTTCTATCCTGGTAAATATCAAAACTACGACTATTAAGAACTGTTTTTTTCACAGGCATTTTTATAATTTCGATGATTCCAGRTTAGTGCCTATAAAAATATACTTTCAATTCATTTATGTAATAAATAAACAAAGCAATACATTAATACGGAGTATTATTATAAATAAGAAATACAATAATAAAATTAATTGACTAATATTATGATTTCTAGAAAATTGTGATCTGTAAAGTAATAACACAATGATAATACCTAATGGCTAATATGTTTACAGTATATTAAAATTAAAACTTTAAATCTAAGACTAAAATGTTGCTAAATTCTATATGGATAACTAAATACAATAAGCTAGCATTTGGAAAATGTGTTTTCTATGGAGAAATGTTTGGAATTATATTAGTTATTTGTGTTAAACTAAATTCTAATTTTAGTAGGCTTTTGTGTATTTTAGAGGCTTTCTATGTTCCAAATTCTAGTCACATTTTTATGTCCATATGCCTAATTACGATTTTGTGTTGGGTTGATTGCAATTCATAAAAATGTTAAATTCCCCCATCATTTTATT